TCCTCCTCCTCCTCCTCCTGCTGAATCCGCGGCCCCGGCACCAGACCCATTCTAGGTCTGGTGTCCACCAGTGCCGGGCGCATCGACCCCGAGTCCAGATCATATCGCCAGGGGTGCCCCCATCAAGGAGGTGTTTCTCGACAACCGAGGCGGGAGCGACAGCCCGCCCAGGTGCCAGCGACAGCAGGCAAGAGGCCCCCAAGACGGCCCAAGGTTGCCCAAGGACCCCCAAGGCTGCCCCACTGGAGCCGAACAGAAAGATGGGGACGAAGACCACGAAGACGAGAAAAGAACCCCCGACACGACGCGGAATCCGCGGACCCCCGCTTGCAGGGGGCGCAAAGGCGTGTGAGATGATTGGCTGTCCCCCTCCCCCTGTCCCCGTCCCCTGCTCCAAATCGCGTTAGAGGGGGGGGCCCTGGGAGGGGGGTCCACGGGCTCCTGAACGGCCACCATTGGTTGTCACTTTATGGGAAGGCGGGGGCGGCGCACGCTGCCTCGTTCGACTTGGCTGACTTGATGTTCCTGTCCTCCTCCTCCTCCTCCTCCTCCTCCTCCTCCTCCTCCTCCTCCTCCTCCTCCTCCTCCTCCTCCCCTCCTCCTCCCCTCATCCTCCTCCTCCCCCCCATCCCCCCCCCATCCCCCTCATCCTGCTCCTTCTTCATCATTCCGATTCTCCACCCCAACCTCCTCCTCCTCCTCCTCCTCCTCCTCCTCCTCCTCCTCCTCCTCCTCCTCCTCCTCCTCCTCCTCCTCCTCCTCCTCCTCCTCCCTCCTCCTCCTCCCCTCCTCCTCCTCCTCCTCCTCCTCCTCCTCCTCCTCCTCCTCCTCCTCCTCCTCCTCCTCCTCCTCCTCCTCCTCCTCCTCCTCCTCCTCCTTCTCTCTTCCTCCTCCTCTTCTCCCTCCTCCTCCTCCTCCTCCTCCTCCTCCTCCTCCTCCTCCTACTTCACCTGCCTCCCGTCCGCCCCCATCCCCGTTCGTCGTCGCCACCGCCGGAGGGACAGCGTGGCCTCGTCTGGCGCGGAGTCAGAGGATCCGCTGGATCGATCTGGAGAGCCCCACCTGGGCGCCCGCGCCGGCCACCGCTCACTCGGGTCTCGGGTCACTCGCCTGTCCGTCCATGCCTCTCCTCTGCCGGTGGCTCCTCCTCCCAAGGCGGAAAGAGGCATACCAGTGCAAAACCACAGCTCATCAACGATATTGCAGTAAGCCCTCCGCCCTGCAGTAAGCTCATCTACGATATTGCAGGATTCATTTTCACTGAACGAAGTGCCCCGTTGGGAGAGACCTGTTTGAAAGTCCGCAACTGTGCCAAATCACGAATCCTGGGACTTCAACGCTGCGAATCACCGTTACTGTTGCGTCTGGTCGAGCCTGAATCGCGCCAGAACACCATTCCTGAGACTTCAACACCACGAATCAACGTGACTGTTGCGCCCTGACAGTCCGACATCGTACCAAGGCACCTCTTCTGGGACGTGAACCATGAGAATCCTTGCAACTGCTGTAAACTCTTAGAGCGAATGTGCGCGGCGCTAAATCGAGAGCCACATTCCCCAACAAGTGCTCGCACTGAAGTGGTCCTAGCGGATATTGAAAGAGAAGGCGCATGTTTCACGCCGATTTTGGTGGCAGGCTGGGTTCCCGGGTTCCTGGTTCCGGGTTCCCGGTTCCCGCCCCGATTTCGGTGGGCGGCGAGGTTCCCAGGTTCCCAGGTTCCTGGTCGATCTTCTTTGAATCGATGCCTTTGAGTCGATGTTTGGTGGGAATGTCACGCTTCCCCCATAGCAAAACCACCGAAACCACAGAAATCAAGGGCACACTGGAGGCAAGCAGGGAATTTCTCGGCATCGGTTTCCACTGTACACGTCGGTCGGAAGAAGTAGATAAAAACATGAAGTAGGAAGGCGGTTACAGTAGATTGGGTTCAGGCCCTCCCAGAGAATAACAAGACACGGCAAAGCGTATCGATTCTAGAAATATGAAGGCGCTGAAAATAGACTGGGATCTGGGAATCCAGAAAGACCTGCCTTCAACGACCGCCGTGTATGTCCTCTATGGGCTCCCGACTTGCACTGTCCTGCCTACAGTCGGACTTCATTGGACAGGACACGCGAGAGGACAAAAGACCCTTCCAGGGGGCCACATTGCCACAGGAATGCAGGAGGCACGGGTCACGAGACGCAGGACAAAGGGGTACCCTTGATTTGGCAGGCTCGACCCACTGATCAGGGCCGACTGGAGTCTGCTTCCGCTCCTGCCTCGCCGTGGCCGCCTCGAGGGGCCAAGGAAGCACGCGGGCCCCGCCGCCGCGCGTCGGCGAAGGGAGGGGCCCGCCCGCCCCTATCGGGGAAGCTGTCCTCTCCCCCTGGGGTCTGGACGGGGGGCGCCCGAGAGGCACGCCGAGGACAGGATCGGGCGATGGCATCTCTGAGAGGCGATCGGGAGTCTCAGGATTGAAGGGGCCCTTGGACACGCAAATAAATATACACACAAATAAAAGGATTCCCCCTATTTTCCCATGTTTTCTGGGTGTTCGTCTTCCCCCCCACTTCCCATATTTCCCGATATTTTCCTGGGGATCGACGATTAATTGTGTCTGTGTGTTTTTGTTCCCTCCTGAAGGATGTCGGAAGCTGGAACACACATATCACCAGTGGCGGGCTCTCTTTCAATCCCAGGACTTCTTGAGGATCAAGGGCGACGTCGGGGCGGTGTGGTGTATATTTGTTTCCCCCGTTCCCCCAGGGTAAGCAACGAAAAACGTATACACCAGGACCCCATATACACCAAGATCCGCTTTCTTGTGAGAATTTCAGCGCAGGGCCGGAAAAAGCGTTGGTGTATAGAGTTCGGTTCCCTAGGATGTACACGATATGTTATCGAGAATCTCTGAGATCTGGCGGATCTGGGATGTGTCGGGCGCCGCGGCCTTCTCGGAGCGCTCCGGAACGCTCTGAGAGCACTCCGGAACGCTCCAGAACGAATCTATCCTCGTCCCAGCCCCGCCCGAAGGGGCTCCCTCTTGGCCAGAAGAACCTGAAAGATGGCCCACAGGTGCGCCAAGGTAGCCCCCAGCATGGCGGAAGAGACGTGCGGGGAGGAGGAGGAGGAGGAGCACGAGGAGGAGGAGGAGGAGGAGGAGGAGGAGGAGGAGGAGGAGGAGGAGGAGGAGAGGAGGAGGAGGAGGAGGAGGAGGAAGAGGAGGAGGAGCACGAGGAGGAGAGGAGGAGGAGGAGTAGGAGGAGGAGGACGACGACGAGGAGGACTAGGACGAGGAGGACTAGGACGAGGAGGAGGAGGGGGATCCTGAGAGAAAGGGGTCCCGGACCTCGGGGCCTCCCCCCCGAGGCCAGCTCTCTGCATCCCGGGTCGTCTGCGCGAGGGCCCCGAGAGCCCAGGGAGGGGCCCCGACCCGAAAGCGGCGAGATCTAAGCCGGGCCTGTCCTCCTACAGGGGGGGATTGTGGACGAAAAATGGCTTCAACAAAGCAATCGACACATACCTCAGACTCGCCCACAAAGGCGCAAAATATCCTCCCCATAATGTCTTGTGCTATTTTTGACTTTTCCTCCAGTAGAGGGACAGGCCCGACTTGAGGCTAGATGCCTGCCCTGACCCCCTTTGCCTCCAGGACCCCCTTCCTTCACGGCGAGACGAGGAGTGGGCAGTGCCAGGATGCAGTCCTCGTGTTGCGATCGGGGAGACGCAAGACTCGGGTACAGGGGACGGACTCGGGTTGGCCGTACGGGGCCATCATAAAAATGACGAGACGCGAGCTCCAGCTGCAAACATCCCACGAAAACAGGACCGACAAATTTCAGAACGCGCTCGTCACAAAACGACGGCAAACCCGAGTTCCGGCTTACTCGAGTCTTACGTTTCCCCGATACAGTGGACATCGGACATCGGACATCGGACGTGCCGCAATGAGCCGCGAGGGCCTGGGAATGTGGCACCAGAGCGCCAATGTGTCAACAGGTACACCAACATAGTAGGTAGCAATCCGCTGTGCATAAAGGGTCTACGGCGCATGAGCCAACAGGCCCTGCCAAAGCCGATCGATAGGCCTATAATAATAAGTCTATCGGCAGACTGCACTTCGGCCTGCAATAGGTAACAGGCCCATCAATAGGCTATGCATGGGCCTATAGCAGGCCTATTGGCAGGCTATGCAAAGGCCTGCTCGTAGCCTATGTACAGGCCGATGGCTGGCCTGTAGGCATGCTGTGCACAGGCCTGTGGCGGGGCGCAGGCCACTCTATGGGCTCACCAGAGGCCCACCGCAGACCTGTGCGCAGCCCGTGTGCAAGCATGTGATAGACCCATGCGCAGGCTGTGCACAGGCCTATCGCGGAGCGCCGGCACCTCCAGAGGCCCCGCATAGGCCTACCACAGACCTGTGAGCAGCCTATGCTCAGGCCTATGGCAGGCCTCTGCGCAGGCCGTGCATAGGCTGTCGCGGAGCGCCGGTTTCTCTATGGGCCCACCACAGGCTTAGCACAGAACTGTGCATAGCTTACGCGTAGGCATATGGTCGGCATATGCGCACGCTGTGCCTAGGCCCATGGCGAGGCGCCGCCCTCACTGGAAGCTCACTGGAGGCCTACCATAGGTCTACGCACATCTGGTGGACGGGCCTGTAGTAGGTCTATGCGCAGGCTGTGCGTAGACTTATTGCGGGGTCGTTCACAGAGCGCGCAAAGACTGATAGTAGGCTTGTGCATATGCTATAGTAGGCCCTCGGATGCATGGGCCAGCAGGTCATATGAAAGGCTGCCGATCAACCTTAAATAGGCCTATAAGCTGGCTACGCGTACTGGAGGCCCATCAAAAGGCGACCTGTAGACCTATCGTAGGCTTATAGGCAAGCTATGCACCGACCTCTCGCCGGCAATAGGCAGGCTACGCGTGGACCTACAGGAGCCTATCATCGGAAGTGAGGGGGTGAGATCGAAGTGGAACGGAGAGCCCCCCACTGGTAAATCGTTTTCGGTTGCGGGTTCGTGCCGTGCATGCGGGCGAGGCGAAGCTGCGCGGGCGGGTGAGAGGAATAAACGCTCCTCTGGCTAGGCCGCAGCGAGAACAGAAACCAGACCCACCCGGCCGCTTGGCGGACGGTGCCGGGGGTGTCCCGCCGTGGCGCCCCGACAGTGTCCCGTGGTGTCCCGTGGTGTCCCGCGTTGTCTCGATTGGTGTCCCGATGGGGTCCTGGTGGTGCGTCGATGGCGTCCCGCGGTGTCCCGCCGTGGTGTCCCGATGGTGTCCCGTGGTGTCCCGTTGTGCCCCGTGGTGTCCCGCGGTGTCCCGACTGGTGCCCCGATGGTATCCTGGTGGTGTGTCCCGCCGTGGTGTCCCGATGGTGTCCCGTGGTGTCCCATGGTGTCCTGAGCTGTCTCGATTGGTGTCCAGATGGGGTCAGCGTCCCGCGGTGTCCCGCCATGGTGTCCCGATGGTGTCCCGTGGTGTCCCATGGTGTCCCGATTGGTGTCCCGATTGGTGTCCCGATTGGTGTCCCGATGGTATCCTGGTGGTGTCGATGGCGTCCCGCGGTGTCCCGCCGTGGTGTCCCGATGGTGTCTCGTGGTGTCCCGTGGTGTCCCCGCGGTGTCCCGCCGTGTCCCGCAGTGTCCCGTAATGTCCCATGATGGTCCCGCCGTGGTGTCCCGTGGTGTCCCGTGATGGTGTCCCGATGATGTCCCGTGGTGTCCCCTAGTGTCCCGTGGTGTTCCGTGGTGTCCCGCGGTGCCCCGCCGTATCCCGTGGTGTCCCGTGAGATCGATGGTGATATCGATACTGTGATCAATAGCGAGATCGACAGTAGGATCGTTAGTGAGATCGATAGTGAGATCGATGGTGGGATCGCTTGTGAGATCGGTGGTGCGATCGATTGTGCGATCGGAGGTAACATTAACTGTTAAATCGCTAGTGAGATCGATAGTGAGGTCGATAGTAAGGTCGAGTGTGAGCTCGATTGTGAAATCGACAATGAGATCGATAGCGATATCGATAGTGAGATCGATAGTGAGACCGATAGTGCGAACGATTGTGAGATCGATAGT